GTGTCCGGGCGGGCGGTGGGCGCTGTGCTTGTGCCTGTGCGCGGCGCTGCTGCCGCGGCCGGCGAGGGGCCTCACCGACCGCCTCTACTGCGGCCGCCGAGTCTGCTACGAGGTGCTGGGCGTCAGCCGGCAGGCCAGCAAGGCGGAGATCGCCCGCGCCTACCGGCAGCTCGCCCGGCAGTACCACCCCGACCGCTACCGCGGGGAGCCCGCGGGCGGCGAGGGCGGCGGGGCGCAGGCGGCCCACGAGAAGTTCCTGCTCATCGCCGCCGCCTACGAGACCCTCAAGGTGAGAGAGCGGGACCGCCGCCGCGGCCGGAGCCGCTCCGGTAAGCAGTCAGGGAGGGGAGGAGAAACACCCCGAAAAATCCTCCTTCCGTGGGCAGCCCGAGAGTGCTGGAAGGAGGATGGAGTGCTCTTGAAAATCCTTCTGTGTCTAGAATTCGTTCTTTTAAAATTGATGTTATTTTATTTTATTTATTTATTTATAACGAACCGTCCGGGCTTTATCTTGGAGGTGTACCTTTAAAAGTAGCAGTGGCTCGAGTAGCATATGGGATCTGTAAGGGAAGGCTTCTCAGGGCAAAGCATGTGTGACTTGGCAAAGATGGAACCCAGGAATGGAAGAAGGAGACCTGTAAGTGTTTTAAGGCTACGAGGGGTTAGAAAAGGGAACTTTTTTTTTTTTTTTTTTCCCCCAGGGTGGGAAGGGGGACGGAGTTTGAAAGGAATGCAGTTGATCCTGGCAAAATTAAATTTCCCATCCCGCAATTATATGGAGGAAAATGATGAAAAACTCAGAGAATATGAGAACAATGAGGTTTTGAATTGGCCTTCCATTGGACAGATTCCATAGCCCTGTAAACTAATTCCTTTAAGTTTTGTAAAACAATCTCCTAATAGGTTCTTCATCTGAAAATCTTTTCCTGAGCAATACTTATTAACTCTAGTCCATCTGGAATTCCCATTCTGAAGTTAAACAACTCACTCCATGGATTTTAGTTGCTTGTCTGTTTTCTAGTTTTAAATGCCTTTGCACAGTACCTGCTTATTCATTTTAAGTCTAAACGCGTCATATATATATGGGCAGATAAGTGTGAGAACAAATTCATTGAGAATATGAGAAAAGGACAAATTTCCTCTGTTTCATGCTCACTTGGGCTGTGGCCAGTTTTACAGCAGCACGGTCCTTAATGAGAAGTAAAGCACAGATACAACAGAGCAAGTGAAAGCAGGAATTTAAACCTGAATGAGTTTTTCATCTCATCCTGCAGGATGAAGAAACACGTAAAGACTATGACTACATGCTGGATCATCCTGAGGAGTATTACAGGCATTATTACCACTACTACAGCAGGAGACTGGCTCCTAAAGTAGATGTCACAATAGTGATCCTAGTTACAGTGTGTGCCATCTCTGTGTTTCAGGTAAAATTTCATGTTTACATCATACTGTGAATTTCTGAACAAGAAGAGAAGTAGTGGCAGTATTAAATGTGCCATTTAATAAAAAGTGTCCGTGAGGAGCCCTGTTCCTGTGTGCTGTGGTCTGGTTCTGTATGGTGTTCATAAAAATCCTGAAGTCAGGAGGTACTTAGCAGATTTTTGACTGCCCTTGGTGCCTTGAACAAAGGTAGATATTAGTTTATTTTCATTTTCTTTGAGACAAGAATCTTTTCTGCATCTTTTCTGAACAGTTTACTTGGTTCTTCCTGGCAGGCTCAGAGTAGCTCAGGCAGGACTAGTGCCCCAAATAATGTGTGTCTGCCAAGATGCATAAGTAAATTTTTAAAAAAATGGATTAGTAGCAAACTGAATTCAAGACTTATTTCAGATGATAGGAGTGAGTATCAGGAGTTTACTAGTGTGTGAATCTTGCATTGTGGTATATTTTAAACACCACATGGATGAAGTAATGAGAGAAGCATTCAGTTCAGCAGAGTTTACTCTGAAGGTGGTAAATCTAAGGCAAGAAAACCCTCTGTGTTTTAAATGAAAAAACTTGTGCTGTTGCTGACAAGAGGATAAAAATGCATAACTTCTCTTTAGGATCTTTTAAATCACTGGTTCAAAACATCATTAGAAATACCCAAGAAGTTTAAGAGATGTAGACACAGTTTATGCAGTGGTGCAGGTAGCTCAGTGTTTAGTGGGATATTGGAAGTTGGAATAAAAAGTATGTTGATCAGAATTTGATAATTTGGAATAATAAATTCTAATGTCATACTCAACCAAACACTTAACTTTTCTCCAGTTCCGATGCCAAAGTTTCATTTCATGTCTTATTTCTCATTTTGTGTGTAAGTGCAGACACTTTTCTGGAGTCCAGCTAAGTTCTAAATTCAGTGTAAGCATCTCTGTAAACTGGTTTTCCCATGATGCTTTCTGTTGTTTCTGTTTTTTGGCCTTTGCTAGGGTTGTATAGTGGGTTTATGTCTGCGCTTTGTCTTGATAAATGGTGTGAGATGTGTCATTGTTAAAAAAGTTTCATCAGTGAGACATGCTTTTTTGTCCCAAGAATGAAAGTGAGCTGCTGACTTTTCCTCTCTTGTGCCTATCTAGTTTCTAACATGTTTTCCATGCCTCATCTTAGGTCATTTACAAGACACTAGATGGGTACAACATCAGCTCTCAACTAGTCCTTGTGCTGCTTCTGTCTTCAGAAGGAAGCATTCTCAGGGTTGCACTGTACAGGGCTAGGAGCTGGACTTGATGATCCTTGTGGGTCTCTTCCAATTCAGGATGTTCTATGATTCTGTGTTACTCAAATACTCAAGCAATATTTTTCTCTGGTTTGTTGTTTGGGAGCTTTTGTCCCCACTCCCTTGAAATCCAGAAGGCAGCTAGAGATCAGAGAGGTATGTTGGGTCTTGCAAAGTGGACACTGCCAGACTGATGAGACTGTCATACTTAATCTGTGTTCAGTGAACTGTTTTAAATGGGTAAAAAATTTTATACTAAAATATAAAATAGTTTGTATAGTAGCTCCTATATTTATAAATATAAGAAGGGGGGCTTTTGTGAATGGCTGGCACAGCCTGGTATTAACTTGATTGCCATCTGCTCAAGAACAAAACTGTTCAGAACATGTCTGCTTGGCCTTCCTTGGCATCATAAATTGCTGTGATATACATTTCTATACATTCATTTCCCAGGTGCTTCACTGAGTCTGGAAGGATGATTGTAGCTCCTATGATATCACGGAAGTACTGTTAGCTTCATTTTTTGCCCTTACTTTAATATAACTGTGCTTAAAAATGTGTGACAGCATTACTTTTTTCCTGGCAAACCCCCAAATAGGAATGTGTCTATATTAAAACAAGGTTTTTATGTTTACTGTTCTTAAATTACAGTTCTTCAGCTGGTGGAGTAGTTACAATGAAGCTATCAACTACTTAGCATCTGTGCCAAAATACCGTATACAAGCTACTGAGATTGCCAGGCAACAAGGTTTACTCAACAAGACTAAAGAAAAAGGCAAGAACAGGCGGTCTAAAGAAGAAATTCGTGAAGAGGAGGAAGAAATTATCAAAGACATTATTAAAAATAAAATAGATATAAAGGGTGGTTATCAGAAGCCCAAAATATATGATATCCTTCTATTTCAGATCCTTCTTGCTCCTTTTTACTGGTGCAAGTACATAGTTTGGTACTGTTGGTGGATTTATTGTTTCACTATTAAAGGGCAAGAGTATGGTGTGGAAGAGAAGTTGTATATCATACGAAGGTACATGAAAATGTCTCAGTCTCAGTTTGACAGCCTGGAAGATCATCAAAAGGAGACCTTTCTTGAACGGCAACTATGGATACGAGAAAACTATGAGGTGGGTAGCGATACTGAAATCTGCCAGGAAATGAACTTTCTAACACAATTGGAAGCATTAGAAAGCAGGCACTCTTTATTACAGCTCTGGACACACCCAAAGCATGTATCCTCAAATAATGTATAATCAAATGTGTGCTGTGAAAATTTACAGTGGGGTATTTATTCTGTCATGATCATACATATTCATTAGAATAGACTTCCTAGCTAATACATAAACATCACTTTTCTTAGAGCTAATTTGCATGCATCTGACTCCTGGAAGTCCTTTTATGGTTCTAGAGGGCTGTCTGAAGGGGTCTGTGGTGCTTGTATTGGCTGAGTGCTTCAATATTACAGGTGACCTTTTCTTGAACTTTTTCTTTGGGCCTGTTGCTGTTGCTTCTTTTTACATGCCAAAAACATCCCTGTATTCCTTATTATCTGTTCATCCACTCGTTCCAGTTACTTTTACATACATTTATCTTTTTTTTTTTGCTAATTAGTCTTTAAGGTCTATCCAACAGCTTCAGGAAAACTGGAAACTGGAAATTTCTCTTCTCTTCTCTGTTATTTATCAGTAGCCCCTGTGGAAAAACTAATGTTAGTTATCCAGCACTCCCAGAACAGTAATAACAGTGTGCTATTATAGTAGGTTGAAGACTATTGTCTGCTCTCCAAACGGTAATAATTTGTAATAAGAATTACCCATTCTGTCTGAAACTCCTATTTCATCAGTCTTCTAAGCTGTTAATTCCTGGCTCAGGGGGTTTTAATTGTTTGTTAGTTTTTATTTTGGTTTTCCCATCTGTTCTTTGGTAGTTCTTTGTCCTGTGTGAGTCATGGACTGTTCTTGAAGTGCTGTATACCTATTCAAGTAAGGATGGCATAAAAACCACCATTAGGCATAACTTCTACTCTTGCCATGGACAGATTAAAAAAATCAGTAATCAACTCTACATAGTCATTGTATAATTTTTTTAAATTCTGTGAGAGAAAAGGAACATCAGCCACAGCATGGAATTTGCACTCCAGAATTACTTGGGATGCTGAGGTTGATGCATGGCAGGTTGATAAAACCCTTCTGTTGTTCCACAGAGGTGGTTCTGTGGGCCCTTTGGATGTGAGGTTTCTAAAGAAAAACATGAGAATATGAACTCAGTCTTAAGGGGAAAAGGAGGTGGTGCTGCTGTTCTGCATATGCTGGGAAAAGAGATGGGATGGCAGGACACCAAAGATAAGAGAATGTTTCTTCACCCTCAGACAGGGGTGGATTACTCTACAAACTTGTGGAGGAAAATAGTAAAATAGGTGTTAATGTAAGGAAAGGTTTAGCTGCCATGTTCAGTTAGGATGGGTCTGCTAGAAAGCAGTCTGGAAGTCCAAAGACTGAGTAATGCTGCTAGTTAAAGCAGATGTTACTATGGAAAAAGATTGGATGGATATCCTGTAGTAGAGAAAAAAACGCCCTGGTTTCTTACCCATTCAGTTTTTAACTGAGGATGTTTCGGTCACTGAGTGTGAAAGGGCTGTATTGGCCACAAGTCTTTTTAGCTCACACTTATCTCCAGCAGTTGATTTTCCCTGATGAACACTTGACAGCTGCCCCTGTATGGTAATATTTATCCAACATATTTTGCAGCTTTGTAACTTTCTGAAAAGGAAATGGTCTTTGTAGATAATTGCTTTATTCCGTTTTTACCTAGTCTCTTGAACGCATTAAAGTTTTCAGTGTCTGCTGTGCCATCTGGTGATGAGTTCATCCATACTTGTAGAAGGTGGTGGAAGAGGATTTTTTTTAAGTCACTGGGACTCCTGCTCATTCCAGTATTACTGGAAATGGAGAATAATCATGCTTTATTCTGTTCTTGTACTGGCTTGTACTTCTATGTAGCACTGCCATATCCTTACTTGAAACACAGTCATGTATTTTCTAGTCTGAAAAATAACACTATAGTGTTTCTCCCCAAAAGCTTGTCTGTTCCTTCATCACTGGAGATGTGTATCTACGTACTCTCCAGTTTTCCAGTGTTGTTTTAGGATGGGAAAGGCCAGGAATTCAATACATAGGTGCATCATAGAGCTCCACAATATTTGTACTGTTTCCTAATGATTCTTAAAACCTTTATGATCACTGAGCATTGAGTTTGTGTTGTCATGCAGCCATATATAACATAGTATTTTTAAAATCTTGTTTGCGGACTTGTTAGCAGAACTCTAAATTTAATTGGTGTTTGAGTCAGACTAAGTCATGTGACTCTGAGATATTTCTTGACAGAATATAATTGTTTATCTTTTAGTACTATAAAGATGCAGAGATATTTGAGATATTCTCAACTTTGCTGAGAACCTTTCTTGGGAACAAAAAGTTCCATAGTGGTATTCTGTTAGATGATAACTTTGAAAAGGGAGAACAGCTAAAATGAGGAGCTGAACAGTTTCATTGAACAGTATATATGCTGAGAGGGACTTACAAGGTTAACTTTGTAGAACATTATCTGTTGCTTAGTGTGTATTTTCTTTTGTTGAATTCGTTGAGCATCTATTTCTCTAGGAGAAAAAAATAAAAATGTTACGGGGCTTACAGTTCTGATCTCAGCAAAAGCACAGAGCATCTTGGGCAGCAAGAGACTCTTGGGCTGCAGGTGCTCCAGTGCTTTCTGTTGGTCAAGGTCTGCTTTTGCACTGCAAGCCAGTCTTCTGTAAGAACAATAGGGTGGCAAATGATTGAATTATAAACACACCCCACTTGAGGCTCAGTTAAGCTGTTTCTCCATTCTTAATTAGAAACTTCTGTCTGTCTTGCCAGGTGTATAAACGAGAACAAGAGGAGGAGCTAAAGAAGAAGATGGCCATGGATCCCCGATGGAAGAGATACCGGCGGTGGATGAAAAATGAAGGACCTGGAAGACTGACTTTTATTGATGATTGAAAGTTGCTGAATGAAATGTGTGTTGTTGCTGAAAGTGATTTGCAAAACTTTTCATTACATCATTCAGAGTTTTGTCTGCTGTGGCTTAGCAGTGATCTAAAACTCAGGAACTACTACATCAGGCTGAAGCATAATACAGGTTTACCATTTTTATAAATCAGACCTATTAAACAGGTGTAGCCTAATGTATATATACCATTTACTTGGGGATATCAGTGTGGAATTCATTATTCCAAGCAATGTATTTTTGCTAGATACTTCATCATCTATGAAACCATAATTCTAGTCTTTCTGAAAATGTTAGTTCAAACCTTGACAAGTTCCAGTTTTCCTCTTTAAATTGAAGGGTTCTTCAGTGGAAACTGAAAATGCTTGTAAAGGATTCCGAAGCAAGGACCATTTTCTGTTTTCCTCTCTTTCCCCCTACTATTCAATCTAATTTCTAAGATGCCAAATTGTTTTTTTTTTTCCATGTAAACAATATGGGGATTATACAAGACTACTGCTACTCCTGCTTCACTTGGAAATGGATTTTATTCTTTATGGGAATAAATGATGCATGATTGATCATCATTGTGATGCAAGCAAGCCTTAATTCTTTGTTCTACAGAGTAATTCATGAAGCAGTATGCTTGGATATTTTGTGGTTTTTCATCTTGTACATTGGATTATACCTGCTTTTTCAGAACAAGTATACTAGTGAATATTAGTCTATTAAATGTGACGTTTCTTTCACCAAAGTATTGGTTAAAGGGAAAAATGACCCTTTTGTTTAAAAGGGCAATTTTGATGCCTTATGTAAATAAAAGTTTATACATACAGACAATTAGTTTCAAATTCTAAATCTTAAATATTCATTACATTTATCTCTTCTGATCAGACCTCTGAGTACTTAGAATAAATAATGCATAACAGCAGTCTGTGGTTTGCTCTGTAACAGCCCAGGTCAGAGAGTTTCTGTGATTTGCTGGTTAAAGGGAGTCTGCTGCCTTACTCCTCTTCAGTAATTTTACTGAGGAAGGAAAGATGAGAGCATAGTCTTTCTCCTACCATCACACCTGTAAAAGTGAGTTCTGTATAAGGAAACTGCTGAAAACAGTGCCTTGTTAGCTGCCTTCTGTGGAGATTGGTTCTGGGAGTGCAGGTTTTGAACTTGCTTCTCCTGACCTTTTGCACATTTTTGAAATGTTGTTCCAGTTTTCTGTTTAAAATAATACACTCAAAACCGTATATTGTAGTTTTTTGCCTAGCTGGAGATGAAACACCTCATATCCACTTGTTCAACTCCCCACTCTTTTCCCCCCACCCTGGTAGAATGGGGACAAGAATCAAAGCAAAACTTGTATGTTGAGATAAGAACAGTTTAATAACTGAAAATAAAGTAAAATACAGTAAGAATGGGAAATAATAAAAAAAACACAAACAAGTGATGCACGATGCAGTTGCTTACCAGGCACTGACCGATACCAGACTCCCCTTCCTGTACCCGGATCCACTGGTCTTCTGGATAGCCTTCCAGTTTATATATCAGGCATGATGTTCTCTGGTGTGGAGTATCCCTTTGGCCAGTTTAGGTCACTTATCCCTCCCAGATCGTTTTTTTTGGTGTATCTTCTCACTGGCAGAGCATGAGACAAGGTGGGAAAAGTCCTTGACTTCAGATAAGCACAATTTAGCAAAACCCAAAACATCACTTCGTTGTCAACACCATTCTCATTCTAAATCTGAAACAGCACTGTAACAGCCACTGAGAAGAAATTACCCTAAGCTGTAACCAGGACAATACCCACCACTTAATCCATATCACCTTTGTCATGCTAAGTTTCACACTCCCCAGTATCCCATCACCTTCCCTTCCTGTGTTGATAGATACACAAACATCATTCTTTTAGTCAATGGAACGCTCTATTAAGTGTTCATAAAACATCCACACAATTAAAAAAACAAGTTTGTTGAATTAATTTAGTCCACGACTTTGGCCTTCATCTTTGGTAACAGTCTTTGAAGCAGAAAAGATGGTGTGAGGTGTTAGATTGTTGCATGCTGCACATTTGAGCCAGTTCTGATGCCAGTACTGCTGCACTTGATCAGTTTTATCCAAGTTCATTCTCTGTGAGTGCAATAATCAGAGGGGAGTCAGGCTCAGGTCCCCAGAGCAGTTGTTAGGATCGATGCTGTGAAGTGACACACACACAGCTATTATTGCCACTTCTACACACAGAAGTGGCAATAGAGTGTTGCATAGTGATGGGCATCATACAGTTTAATTCACTGGCTATTTTCACCTAAAATCAAATCACCTTGAGGCACACACAGAGCTTCCCCATCCTCCAACACTACACACCAAGGGCACCTGGGACCTTGAGAAAAAGCAATCCTGCAGATGGGTTTGCCTTTGCCTGGGGCAGGAATATCCCAGACTCTTTTCCCCAGCATGTTTTTAGTATACACTACAGGTAATTTATCCCCTTCTACCCTACATAAGAACTTTGGGCAGGGCCAGCCTGGTTGGCAGATCCTCTGGTATCTAACCAGGTGGCCTTTGCTAAATGTGTATCCCAACATTTGAATGTCCCACCACTCATTGCTCTCAGTGTAGTCTTTAGCAGTCCATTACATTATTCGTTCTTTCCAGGTTGGTGCACGGTAGGGAATGATACATCCACTCAGTGCCATGTTCTTTGCCCCAAAACTATGAGGATGTTTAGGAAGGAAGTTCCATTGTCTGATTCAGATCTTTCTGGGGTGCCATGTTGCCACAGGGCTAGCTTTTCCAGGCCCAGGATGGTGTTCCAGGCAGTGGCGTGAGGCACAGGGCATGTCCCCAGCTATCCGGTGTCTGATTCCACCACTGTTAGCACATGGCACTTGCCATTACTGATTTGGAGGGATGTGATAGGTCAATCTACCAGGAGTCCCCATATTTATATTTCAGCCATCATACTCCATACCAAAAAGGCTTTAACTGCTTGGCCTGCTTTATGGCAGCTCATGTTTCACATTCATGGATAACCTGTGAGACAGTGTCCTTGGTTAAGTCCATCTCTCAGTCCCAAGTACACTGCTATGTTGCATCTCTTCCTTGGTGTCCCAAAGTGTCATGGGGAGAAAACTAGAAATAATTTACCCTTGAGCTGCCAGTCTAGGACCACTGAGACTCCTGAGTCCTGGAAGCCTGGTCCACCTACTGGTTATTCTGATGTTCTCCAGTGGCACCAGAAGGAGGGGTAATATGTGCTGGAGAGGCCCCACTATGTAACAAATTACCAGAAAGGAAGGAGCAATATGCCTTTTACATTTGGGTCCTTACTGTCTTTTGGGAAAGCACCAGGGATGGAAATCAGCTGTATGGAGTCCCCCACAGTAAGTTACAGAAACTGCTGAAGGAGAATACCGTGCTTGGGTATGTGAGGTACCTTCACAACCAGGCTCTCCATCCAGGCAGCAATATCTTGCCACAATGCAGCAGCCCAAATGTGTTTACCTCTATACTGCCAAGTATTCTGCTTCCTTTACTGCAAGGCCATTGGCCATTTCTCTCTTTCAGCAGTGTCTGAGGCCAGCTTCCTGGCTTTCACCTCTGCAAACTGACTCAATTCACCTCCTTCATCAGTTTCTGTGGCTTGTTTTGGGGGACTCCATGCAGCTGCTTTCCACCTCTGGTGCTTTCCCACAAGACAGCAAGGACCCAAATGAAAAAGGCATATTGCTCCTTCCTTTCTGGTAATTTATTACATAGTGGGCCCTCTCCAGCACATATTACCTCTCCTTCAGGTGACATTCCAAAATCTTTGCCTTCTGGTCAGTCCATGATCTTTTCTAAGATTCCTGGATGATGAAGTTTTCCTATTCAAGTTTGTTGTGCAACCAGCGCAACCCACTTACTCCAGGTAGCATTGGTTGCATGGTGTTTAGAGGAGATCCTCCCACTGAACATTCAGCCCATCACAGACAACCAGCAAACCAGGAGGAGCTGAGCTTCAGTACCAATCACCTCTGAACTGGCTTGGACACCATAAGCTTTAGTTGGAATAAAGTAGGCTTCAGACCCTTTGTATGCCCAGTTTCAAAAACCTAAGGGTCAACCTCAATCCTCACCTGGTGCTTTCTGTCAGAGGCTCCAGGAAGAACCGCTCTCTTCAGCTACAGTATTAGGGACATTTTTTACATCTTGCCCTATTCAGACTGGCCCAAGAGATACACCATGAATTATCTCCTGTTTGATTTATTCAAAGGCTTTTTGCTGCTCAGGGCACCATTCAAAATAATTCTTCTTCTGTGTCACTTGCTAGAGGGAGCTTACAATCAGACTAATTTGAAATGTCCATTCTCCAAAATCTCACAGTGCCTAAAAAAATTGGTGTTTATTTCTAGTTAGCTGGTGGGCACCACACTTATTAATCATGCCCATTGGGATCTGGTGATGTCCATCTTGCCATTTCATTCCTCAAAATTTCATGTCCTATGCAGGTCCCTTTACCTTACTTTGATTTATGGAAAAAATGGGGTTTAGAAGGATTTGGATTATTTTCTTTTATTCCACAAAACTTCACCTGCTGTGTTGCTCCATACAATGATGCTATCAATATATTCCAGGTGTTCTGGAGCTTCACCCTGCCCCAGTGCAGTCTGGATCAGTCCATCAGCAGATGGTGAGCTGTGTTTTCACCCCCAGCACAGTCAATTCCAGCTCTACTGGACATCCCTCCAAGTGAAAACAAACTGTGGCCTGCCTGCTGCTGCCAGAGGGATTGAGAAAATCACATCAGCAATGTCAGTGGTGGCACCACTGGGCTGCCTTTGGCTCATGTTCACACTGAAGCTCCAGAATGTTGGGTGTGGCAGCACCCAGAGGTGGCATTCATCCAGGCCATGAAAATCTACTCAGTCCCTATCCCCTTAGACTCACACTCGCCATAAGGGGCTGTCCAAGGGTAAGCAGCTCCTGCTGGTCACCCCTTGGCTCTCCAGGCAGCAAACCACCCCACGGGGAGGAGTTACAGAGTCTTGGCTGGAGCCTCTTATTACCTCCTGTGCACCATTGTGGCAGTGACTGGCACCTGCTGCTCTTCAGCCTCCAGCAACCCCACATCAGAGGAGTCCTCTGAGGGACCAGGCAAGGTAGACAAATGCCTGATTTCCTCTTCCTCTGGGGAAGTTTTACCAGAAGCCTACCGTCCCTCTTGGATCTCTGAAATAT